TAAAAGCAGGTATCCCTGGAAGTATATTTTAACTGGCTTTTTTCTTTTTCTTTTTTTGAGATGGAGTCTCACTCTGTCACCTAGGTGGAGTACAGTGGCACGATCTTGGCTCACTGTAATCTGTATCTCCCAGGTTCAAGCAATTCTCCTGCCTCAGCCTCCTGAGTATCTGGGATTACAGGCATGTGCCACCATGCCTGGCTAATTTTTGTATTTTTAGAAGAGACAGAGTTTCACCATGTTGGCCAGGCTAGTCTCAAACTCCTGACCTCAAGTGATCTGCCGCTTTGGCTTTCCAAAGTGCTGGGATTACAGGTATGAGCCACTGCACCCTCCCTCTGTCACCAGGCTGGAGTGCAGTGGCGTGATCTCAGCTCACTGCAACCTCTGCCTCCCGGGTTCAAGTGATTCTCCTGCCTCAGCTTCCCGAGTAGCTGGCACTACAGACACTCAGCACCATACCCAGCTAATTTTTTATTTTTTTAGTAGAGATGGGGTTTTACCGTGTTGGCCAGGATGGTCTTGATCTCTTGACCTTGTGATCTGCCCACCTTGGTTTCCCAAAGCATTGGGATTATAGGTGTGAGCCACTGTGCCCGACCAACTCTACATTTTTTTTTTTTTAAGACAGAGCCTTCACTCTTGTAGCCCAGGCTAGAGTGCCATGACATGATCTCTGCTCACTGCAACATCCACCTCCTGGGTTCAAGCAATTCTCCTGCCTCAGCCTCCTAGCTGGAATTACAAATGCATGCCACCACACTTGGCTAATTTTTGGTATCTTTAGTAGAAACAGGGTTTCATCATGTTGGCCAGGCTGCTCTCGAACTCCTGACCTCATGATCCACCCAACTCAGCCTCCTAAAGTGCTAGTATCACAGGCATGAGCCACCGCACCCAGCAAACTCTACATTTTAAATGTTTTTAAGATAGGAACACATACTAGAAAAAAAAGGGGGGGGACAAAATGGGACATTCTCTCTATACTCTGTCAATATTTTGCTTTCCCATAAAATGGTAATATGTTTCTAAAAATATATATAATCCTTACAAAAAGTGCAAAATAGCCAATTCCTCCAGCAAGAACTCTGTACAGAAATCATCACTGCTAACAGTTGAAATATATCTTTTAGGGCTTAGGCAGCTATTTGCATATTTCCACATAGATGGGAAAAGATATAAATATGTTTAATACTGCCCATTTAACAGGTCTTATATATCTTTCCATAGCAACATAGATAATTCTAGCTTTACCATTTTAAAAGCTTTAGAGTATTCCATTCTGGGTATGTACCATAATTATTCACCCAATCTCCTATTGATGAACATCTAGGCTGTTACCATTACAGCATGAATCATAAATTAATAAGAAATAAAATAGTTCTGATTTTGTGGAAGACTATTCCAAAAAGCATATAAAGCATATATTCAGGCAATTAACCTATTTGAGTGAGTTTTTGCTGTGACAGTGTAACAGATGACCTTTGATTTTAAATGGTAAACTGTACCTAAAAAGTCTTGTTCCGGTTTAAGAAATCCAGAAATGAAAACAAACAGACCATGTGAGAATACATAATGATTAGAACCAAAAATTAACCTGCAGTCTTTGCTTCTGAATTCTTCTTCAAGAAGTATATCTGAATTTCAGGAATAATAACTTTCATCTATTACTTCCTGAATTTCCCAAAAGCTACAGGAAAATGATGCCTCATCATCTTTCTTTCCTCAAATGCCTATAGTGGGAACCAGGCAGAAGCCAGATGATAAAAGGGAGGGACCTTGTATACATTATTTAAAACCTGGTCACTTGACAAAATAGGTAGGGGTACTAGGAAGAAGTATCTCTGGGAGTGTATTTTAAGTGATTTTTTTTCTTTTCCTTACACATTTCCTTAGTTTTAAAATTTTCCATAGTGACCATAAGGTGTCCTTTTCATAAGATATTATTAAACAGTGGTTATACACTCTGGCTATACATTATAATCATCTGGAGGGGATTTAAAAAAAAAAAAAAAAAAAAACCACTGCTGCCTCAGACCCTCTCCAGAAGAGTTAAATCAAAATCCCTGGGGGTAGAGTCCAGGTATCAATTAAAAAATACATATTCATTACATAATATGCAGAGAAATACACAAAGTTAACACACCCATGAATTAACCAGCAGTCCCCTTGAGGCCCCTCCCAATCACCA